CATGAGCTATGCATTTTTGTGTGCTCCTTCCAGATCTCCTTTATAAACTCCTCTCCTTGTCTCTTAAGTGCTGGTGTTTCTTAGGATTCTTTGAGGAGCTTTCCTTTCTCTCAAGTCATACTCTTCCCAGGTGATCTTGGTTATTTCACCACTTCAGTTAAACAGTCGCTGATGCTTTCAGGGTTTCTTCATTTAGTCTCTACTGAGCTCCAGACCCACTAATCCAACTGCCCTTAGGATCAGCACTGTCCAATAATGTAGCCACATATGGCTTATTCAAAATTGAGATGTGATGTAATTCTAAATTATACACCACATTTTTAAGACTCGCTATGAAAAAAGGATGTAAAAGATCTCAGTAATTTGGTTATATTGATTATGTTGAAATGATAATATTTTGGATACACTGGGCTAAATATATTATTATAATTTCACCTTTTTTTCTTTTTAATATAGCTACTATAAAATTTAAGATTATGTCTTTGGCTTGCATTAATGGTTTGCATTATATTTCTATTGAACAGCAATGCTTTAAATATTTTTACTGGAGTGTTTAATAGGCATCTAAAACCTGACTTGCCAAAACTCAGTTTTACAGTCTTTATTCACAGACCTGTTTCCCTCTGGGGATTCTGAGAAATGCTTATTTCACACGTAAATCATCTACCAACTACAGTCCATTTTACCTCTCCCAAAAATTCCTCTTGAGTCTTTCTACTTCTGTCCTTCCCAACTTCCCCCCCTAGTCCAGGCCACATACCTCTTACCTGTATAATCACAACAGCTTCTTAGCTTGCCACCTTGCTATGCTCCCATCCTTGAACTTTATAATTGCAGATCTGGTCCTGCTCTTCATTCATTCCCTTGTTTGAAACTTTTAAAGTTTTCCCAGTGCCTTTAAAAGAAAGTCCAACATTTTAAGTCTCTCATGAGCCCTTTATGACCTGTTTCCTGTTTATAATTCCAGCATCGTCTCTCAGCACACTGCCTCCTTCCTTGCGTTTTGTCTCAGCCACACTCACCTTCGTTGTGCTTTTCAGTTCATAATGTTCAACTTCCATTGAAC